CACACACACACACACACCCCCCCCACCCCCAGATGTACTGTTGGTGCATGTTGTTCTATAGTGTAATTAAAAAGGGAACGAAGAGTCAGAGGCCGGCATGGTGCCAGAAACATATGTACTAAAAGGTACACAACAACAAATGTATAACTACAACAAAAACTATCAAATGTTCATTTGTTAACTGGTGTGATATAACAAACAGATAGAGCTATGTGGCTCTAACAAGTGTGGATGAAGCTGAATCAAAAGCCTTCAAAATCAGGCTCACCATCATCAGTATCATTAAAAGTTGCTGGTATTCCTCCTCTGTAATAAAGGCATCAGAATYCCACTCAACAACAATCTCATGCTCTGTGTCTCGCGAGCGCCCCCTCTGGTGGGGAAACTTTTTTCAGGTAGACCAACTTTTACAGAACACTGGTAGACGGTAGGGTTGGGCATAATCGTATCGTGTGCAATTAATCGTTGGAAAAACATTAATCGATTATTTTTTGGCACTTTACGACTAATACGATTAATGCCACCAGGCAGATTGACTGGATATTTTCCTGGTTGGTCCGCTCGCTGCTCCTCTCCGCTTCAAATATGACGAACATTTTAAAAAAATTCTGTAATTTATTTATCTATCAACACAATTTAAAATTTGATGTATAGCCCGAAGTCTGTATTTTTGACAATTTGGAACAGATTTTAATGAAGAGCAAATATTTCCCACTAAAATGGTCATGTGACTAGGACATAAGGGTGTCCAGGGACTCCAGGGGATTAATCATCAAATTAATCGTTATTGGCTAAATACCACAATTAATCGTGATTAATTTTTTTGCCAATAACGCCCAACCCTAGTAGACGGCAACCATTACAGCCGACCATGCGTTTGTTGTTGTCCCAGGAGCGGCCCGGTCGCACATTAATATCATTAGTWCGTTATGCAGGACTGCCTTTTTTTCTTTTTTTCACATCATGTTGCCTGCTTGGATCTGTTACTATCTCGTTCGGAGGCACAAAGGAGTTTTAGAGGTAAGCTCGCTTCATCTGCTTTTTACGACGGGGTTTCATTTCCGGACTCAGGGATTTTGTGAATGAGGCCGATATTTCAGTTAAAACACATAAGCAAAAATATTTATCCGAGTATAGTACTAACCCCCAACTTTGTGCATGATTTTATGGATTAAATTTTACGTATTATACTCGAATAAATATGGTATGTTTAAAGGGATCCATGATTAGTTGTAACATTAGACTTTATTTGATAAACATATATCTTAACTGTAAAATAAAGACTGTAAAAATACTGTAGGTTGTTTAGTTTTTATAATTTTAACAAATGTATTTTAACACAGATGGAGCCATTTTATTTACACGCAAAGCATTCTGGGTAAATGATGATGTGGATAGGTCCTTGGTACAAGGCTGCTAGCGAGCTATATCCACCCTGAAGATTAATCTTGGACAGTATCTGACGATTGACTCTTTTAAATAAAGCCAGAGAGCGTTGACAGAGAGGAGAAGGTAGAAATGACTCAGTCTGTAACTGAAAATATAGATGGAGGACAACAGAGCTGCTTCATGGAAGAAGAACCTCAGCTTAGCCTGTTCACCTTTGCGCTAGTGCCGATGCTATATTACCTTATATGTGTTAGCTCAGTACTAGCGGGACAAACAAGCTAAACTGAGGTCCTCCATCCATATTTTCAGTTACAGGCTGAGTCATTTTTGTGTTCCCCTCTCTGTCATGTGGATGGAGGACCTCAGTGACGAGAGGAGAATGTGTAGCGCTGAGCTAATACATATACATGGTGATAGCGTCGGGGCTAATGCTAAAGCTAACAAGCTAAGTTGAGGTTCTTCTTCCATGAAGCAGCTCTGTTGTCCTCCATCYATATTTTCAGTTMCAGGCTGAGTCATTTCTACCTTCTCCTCTCTGTCAACGCTCTCTGGTTTCATTTAAAAGAGTCGATCATCAGATATTGTCCAAGATTAACCTTCAGGGTGGATATAGCTCACTCACACAGAGAACCTATCCATGTTATCTTTTACCCAGAATGCTTTGCATGTAAATAAAATGGCCCCGTCCGTGTAATATATTTTTAAACTTTTAGTTTAAAGGAGACCAATTATGTGTCCTGGAAATTTTTCTGGTATGTCTGTGGGCTATCCAGACCATGTTCATTCAATTTAATGCACAAAATAATTCTCAGATAATAAAATTTCCCATTTTCTAGTTCTGCCTGCTCTGATTTCTGTTC